ACTATGTTGAATGGAAGTGGAAATAGTCGGCATCCATGTCTTGTTCTTGATCTTGGAGAAAAAGGTTATGATCTTTCACCATTGAATATGATGTTGACTGTGGGTTTTCATACAGTCTTTTTATCAGGTTGAGGAAGTTCCATTCTATTCCCAGGTTTTTGAATGTTTTTATCATAAAATGGCATATTGAATTTTGTCAAATGCTGTATTGCATTGACATGATGATGTGATTTTTTTCCCTTTTTTATACCGTATTTTTCTGTAAATATGGTATATTACATTGATTGATTTTCATATGTTGAATCATCCTTGCATTTCAGGAATAAATCAATAATGAATAAATAAATAAATAAATTTATGAATAAATAAATAAATTTGTCATGACATATTATCCTTTTAATGTGCTTTAAATTCAGTTAATATTAGTATTTTTTTTTTTTTTTGTCTTTTGTCTTTTTCCGTGTCCGGCAACGGATCGCAACCCTCAGTGTTGCCCCCGTACCGGACCGGGGACCGGCAACGGGATCGCAACCCTCGGCGTTGCTCCCGCGCCTCGCTCAGCCCGTGAGCGGGAACCAGTCTGTATGTGGGATCCGAACCCTCGGGCAGGAGCACCGCCGCGCTTCCCAAGCGGCGCACTATCCAGTGCGCCACCGGGCCGGCCCAATATTAGTATTTTTTTTTTTTTTGTCTTTTGTCTTTTTCCGTGTCCGGCAACGGATCGCAACCCTCAGTGTTGCCCCCGTACCGGACCGGGGACCGGCAACGGGATCGCAACCCTCGGCGTTGCTCCCGCGCCTCGCTCAGCCCGTGAGCGGGAACCAGTCTGTATGTGGGATCCGAACCCTCGGGCAGGAGCACCGCCGCGCTTCCCAAGCGGCGCACTATCCAGTGCGCCACCGGGCCGGCCCAATATTAGTATTTTTAAAATGATTTTTCCATCAGTATTCATAAAGGATTTTGGTCCATAGTCGGTTTTTCTTGTAGTATCTTTCCTGGCTTTGGTACTCAGGTAATTCTGGCCTCATAATACAAGTCTGAAAGGTTTCCCACCTCTTCAACTTTTTGGAAGAGTTTGAGAAGGATTGATATTAATTCTTCTTTACACATTTGGTAGAATTCACCAGTGAAGATGTCTGATCCTAGCCTATATTTCTTGGAAGGTTTTGTTTTGTTTTGTGGTTGTCATTTTAAATTGTGGTGGAAACCACATAACATAAAATTGACTGTCTTAACCATTTTTAAGTATACAGTTCAGTAGCGTTAGTTATATTCACATTGTTGTGGAACAGATGTCTAGAAATTTTTTATCCTGCAGAACTGAAATGCATACCCATTGAACAACAACTTCCTGTTTAGCCCCCAGCTCCTAGCAACCACAACTCTACTTTCTGTTTCTATGAGTTTGACTACTTTAGATACCTCTTGTAAGTGAAATCATACAGTATTTGTCTTTTTTGTGACTGGCTTATTTCACTTAGCACAATGTCTTCAAGGTTCATCCGTGTTGCAGCACATGATAGAATTTCCTTCTTAAATAAGGCTGAATTGTATTCTATTTATGTAGTAGCACATTTTTTATCTTCCCATCTGGCAATGGACGTTTGGGTTGTTTCTACTTCTTGGCCATTGTGAATAATACAGTGAACATGGGGGTGCAAATCTCTCCTCAAGGTCCTGCTTTTGATTCTTTCAGATATATGCCCATAAGTGGGATTTCTGGGTCATATTGTTATTCTATTTTTAATTTTTTTAGGAACCTACATACTTTTTTCAGAATAGCTTCACCATTTTACAGTCCCATCAATAATGCAGAGGTTTGCAATTTCTATACATCCTCACAAACACTTATTTTTTATAATGTATTTTTTTTTTTTTTTTGTCTTTTATGTGACCAGTAAGGGGATTGCAACCCTTGGTGTGGTGTCACCCACACCGCGCTCAGCCAGTGAGCGCACTGGCCATTCCTATATAGGATCCGAACCCATGGCAGGAGCGTCGCTGCGCTCCCAGCGCCACACTCTCCCGAGTGCACCACGGGCTCGGCCCATAATGTATTTTTTAATAGTGTTCATCCTAATGGGTGTGAGATGATATCTCAATGTAGCTTTGATTTGCATTTTGCTTCTGATTAGTGATGTTGAGCATCTTTTCTTAAGCTTGGTCCTGTATGTGTGCTCTTTTTCTGATTCCTCTGTATACATGGCTGCTTTTAAATGTCTCAATCTCTCTGAGAGTCTAAACCCTGCTTTTTTCTATGGGTCTTAGGGGTTCTGTTGTATTCTTCAGTAATCTCTAACCATAGGCATGTTCTCCTTGGGTAGTCCCCTTCTGGTTTTCAAGAGCCTTGCCCAGGACAGAAACCAATCCCAAGGGCTTGGGGGGTGGGGGCCTTCAGACAAATTAGAAGATTGTCAATTCAGTCTGCTGCACTCTCTCAAGTGTTGGAATGGGACCTCCCAGAGCTGTCTTGGGGAGGGGATGGAGCAAGGGCTAGTAAAACTGCCACAGAATTTCCTACCAGTTGGAATGTGACTTTTTCTTGATTTGGCATTTATTTTATTGCTGTAGGTCTTTGACTGATTTCCAAAGCTCTTATAAAGTTACTTTAGCTGCTCTCTAGTTGTTTTGTAATGTTTCCTTGGGGGAACAAAGGCTGACCTTACTCTCCATGTATTATATTTTGATGTTTATTTCCTAGATCTAATTTGTTTGAGCACTTTTTTGCTGGCAGAACAAAAAAGCCATTAGTTAAACATTTAAATTTATCTTTTGTGCCTATTTTTTAATTACATTTTATTTGTTTGTTTGTTTGTTTATTTGTTTTTGGTACCTGGCATGTACAAGGATCAAACCCTGAACCTTGGTGTTAAATTACATGTTCTCTTGTTTTCTCATTGGTTTATATGAGTAGTTAATATATTCTGAATAATATTCCTCTGTTGGTTATATAGCTGCAGCTATTTTCCCAATTTTGTTCCTTGACTATTGTTAACTTTATGAATTTTTTATTGTTCTTGACTTTAATATCAAATGTTTTCTATTATGGTTAGTGCATTTTCCTTTTTAAGAAATTATTCTCTATCCAAAATTCATAAAGATTTCTTCCTGTACTTTCTTATCATTTCTTTATATATGAATACTGATTAGTTACCAATGCTTTCTTCTCTCTTTATTTTAATAGTTTGATAATTTTATACTTTAAATTTAGTGCTACAGATAAGAACTCTATAGTGTTATATATATTGTATTATGAAGGTTTGTTAATTCTAAGAATAGTTATTAGATGATCATATTTATTTAAGCTTGGATTTAGATGATTTTATGCCAGTGTCAGTTCTATTTGTGGCAATCGGTATAAAGTGTGTGTGTAAAGACTGAATGCAAATTTATCTTCTGCATTTGTAATGCTTTAACATTTTTGATACCTTTGCTCAGCGTTTCCATATTTTGCTTCAAGAAATATTCAAGTGTGTTTTGAGAGAAAGTGTGCCATGATCACACACCTTTGAGAAACACTGTATTAGATCACTGGAAGTTTACTATGTACATTATCAGTTTAATTAATCTTGTTATTACTGTAGCAAATAAGTCTATTTGGCTTTGTTTAACCAATTTTTTTTTCATCTGAAACATTAATTCCTCAAATAAAACATATATTAAAACTTAAGGAACTCTGTGGAACATAGGATGGAAACTAATACCTCTGAATAGTACAATTAAAATATTTCCAAATTTAGAAAAATACATTTTAAAAGTAAATATGAAATTAAATAATATAGTGGGAATCAGTTCCAAACATGTATTATTGAATCACAGTGCTGGAAAAAGACTATTTTTTGGTAGCCCATTATAACCATGACTTAATGTGCTGTTAACATATTCTGAGATCTTCGGTTGACTACATCTGCACTAGGAAAAGGAGGAACAGGATAATCAGAGACCCCAGCCCAATTAGAAGGCTTTAAGGCACCACCTGACATTTATACACCTACCCACAATGGAAGAGGCAGTGTCCCAGAGTGTAAAGAGTTAGGCATTTACTGAGTGCCTGTGATACGCTGGGTGCTTTTACATATGTCTTCTGATTTTAATCCTCACATTAATATTATGAAGTTGGTTATTATTATACCTGTTTTATAAGTGAGAAAAGTATACAACTAAGAAAGTTGACTGCTTTGCCTAGGATCCCAAAGTTAATCAAGACAGAGATAGTGTTTGACCTTGGTTTCTTTCTACCATTCCTTACTTTCTGTCATGCAAAGGTAGCTATGGTAATATATTCATGATACACATTATCCTTGTATTAGGGATAGTCAAACTAAGTTAAGCTAAGTAATTTTTCCAAAATTGCACATTTAGCAAGTGATAGAAACAGTATTTGAACTCAGGAGATTTTTAGAATTAGCTGCAGTTCCTTCCCAGATTTGGAGTTATCTTTACACATCTAAGCCACAGTTATTATGGGCCATCTGATAAGCACATTTGGTTTCACCTGTCATGTTGATTTCTTGTGGCTTTTTCTATGTAGCTTAAAGGATGGTACAGTTGGCCTTCTAAACTCAACATTACGTAATCAGTAAAATTATTTTAGGTCATAGTCTTGGTTTCAGCCAGGCTCAGAATGAAAAATTAAAACAAAGCTTTTATTGTATGATTCCACTTCTATGAGGTATGTAGAGTAGTCAAACTCATAGTAACAGAAAGTAGAATGATGGTTGTTTGCAACAGGGAGAAGGGAGAAATGGGGAGTTGTTTAATGGGTACAGAGTTGCAGTTTTTCAAGATGAAAAAGTTGTGGAGATTGACTTCACAACAATGTGAATACACTTAACATAACTGAACTACACACTTAAAGAGTTAAATTTTATGTTGTGTTTTTTACCACAATTACAATTTTTAGAAAGAACAATTTTCTTTGAAAATTTATCTTCCATGTAAAGTTAACTTATGTGGCAATTTAGGAAAATGTTACTTACTAACTTATTCTTTATTCACAGTGATCTGCAGCCCTGGATCCTACAACCCCCGTGATGGAATTCACTGCCTTCAGTGCAATAGCAGCCTGGTGTATGGAGCAAAAGCATGCTTATAGGGCATTATCTGAGTTATTTGGTGTTTTATTAAACACAAAACATATTTTTGAAATATGAACATATAATACATCACTATTATACCAAAATTAAATATATCAGATTTTACCAAAAAATGGTGCCATCATTTTAATCAGACACTGTGTGTCCAAATGCTTTATGGGGTGAACATCCTATAATTCTTATCCACTAATGCCAGACCTACATATGACTCCAGAATATCTCTTGTATCACTGCATTTTAAAAATAGTTTCAAATATACTGAATTGGGTTAGCCAATATATTTTTCAGGATTTTTAAAAAATATCCCATTTTATCTTAACTATATATGTTCACTATATTCAGAACACCATGTTCTTCTACAGTAACTTTCATTTCAACTTGTTTCATTCCTTTGATTTAATTTTATGGGATTTTATTCATTCCAGATTGACCTTTCACAGTTCCAAGCCACTTTTATAGCGTGGAATCTTACTGCAATTTACAGCCTCTTCAGTGTAAAGCCTAGTCCCAACTACACTGTAGGTTTTTAATATAGTTCAGTGTGGCTGTCTTAAACTTTTCAGTTTAAAGTCTCTTAAATTAAATTTTTGAAATTTTAAGATGGAGTAATCATTGTATATTTCTAAATTAGCATTTGAACTATCTCAATGGAGAGAGAGAGAGAGAGAGAGAGAGAGAAACTAGACAGTTTCTTTCCCTGACAACACTTCTAGAAAGAAGTATTGATCACCAGAACTTTTCATTTCATTTTTCACTATTAAAATGAATGTTTTATGACAGGTGTTACTGCCACCACCTCTGACACTTAGCCTCCCTCACATTTGGGATAGTATATTTAGATATGAAAAATTACCACAATTTTATAGATTTAAATACCAGAAAAATACATGAGTAACTTACAAAATGAGTAGTTTCTCAGTTTTCTAATTGTTGTTTATTTATGTATGTATGAAATTTACTGTCTCAGACAATCCCTATTTTTTTTTTTTCCCTTTTTGTCTTTTTTTGTGACTGGCAACGGATCGCAACCCTCAGTGTCGCGCCTGTACCGGACTGGGACTGGCAACGGGATCGCAACCCTCGGTGTTGCGCCCGCACCTCGCTCAGCCAGTGAGCGGCCGGTCTGTATGTGGGATCCGAACCCTCGGCGGGAGCTCCACCGCGCTCCCAAGTGGGGCACTGTAGCAGTGCGCCACCGGGCCGGCCTCCCTATTTTGCTCTTCATATTCCTTTCTTAGGACATAAACATTTGTAAATGGCAAACATAACACGTTGGTTCTAGGGACAACAGTTTACTTGTACCTAGGATCTATTAGACTTTTAAAAATGGACTAGTTAATAAATTTGCCACTTGTTTTGTTGTCCTATGGACAAATATAACTCCAGAATTTTCACACCAATACAAAGGGAAGAGAAATGACCTGTGGCTGTATTTTGTCATTAGGTGTGGTAGTGTTTTTTTAAAAATCCCTTTGGGCCTTCATTATCATGATGCAATTGCCTTTCTGTGGTTTATTGAGGTTTTTCAAGTACCTTCTTTCCCCTAGTAAGTAACTTATTGAAGATTACATTGTTTGGGTGAGTTACTGCTCCTCCCTAAGTAATTAGCACATGTATTCTGTAACTAATAAAAGACCTACTGAGTCTTCATGTGTAGAAGCAGTGCAATCCCCTAAAGTTTTCAAATTTCTTAATTTGTATAATATGATGAATTACATATGAATTACATATGATGAAGTACATATTCTTTCTACTCCTTAATTTTGGCTTGCTTTTTTTCCTGTTATTTAAAAATTTCAGTAATTTAGCTTGTGACACATTTTTCTGAGGCATGAACAGCATCGTGTTAGTACCTAGTCAGCCTGGGAAAGTGGGGTTGGAGCTGTGATGGCAGGATGAGTGTTGGAGACCAGAATCCCAGCAGGAAGAGAAGCTGATCTGAGAGTAGATAAACAAAGGAGGGTGATTAGAACAAGGGAAGGATTTTTAGCTTATAAAGGAACCAGAAATGGGATCACGCAAATGTAAGAAAGCAGAACAAGGTAAGATTTTAAAAGTCCAGGCAAAGAGAACTAACTGTAGCAATTGAAGCAGAGAACAAAATAGGAGAAGAAAGGGAAATATTAATTACCAGTTTTTCTTGGTTCCCATAGTAAAATGTTCTTTGCTCTATTGTATCACTGATCACATTTATTTTAGTTGGTTGTGTGTTTGTCTTCGACATTTAGTCATACTAGGATATTGTTAGTTTCATAGCCCTCTTTATCGCACATAGTTATGTGCTTAATAATTCTTTTATATTAATAGATTATTAAAATCTGTGAGTTATGAATATATCAATAACAAGACAGATTTGCTTCTATTAACAGATAGAATGTGAAATGTTGAAAGTTGTTTAAAGTGATGACATTGTGTGTGATAAAAATTACAGATGAATCCCAAAGGGAGATTATTATCATAAAGGAGTCTCAAGTGGTTTTCTGTTTGCATCAAAGTAGTATCTTCCATTGATATAATGCCTTAATATTTACAAAACATTTTTTAAAAATTAGACAATCTGATGGTTACACCAACTTGTGAAGTTATAAAGTCAAATATGATTCCCACTTGTACTTTATTAACTAGATTTTTTCTCATTATAAATATGTAGTATGTGTTCATTTGGTAATATGATATAAGAGCCTTTAGTTTGGTCCAGAAATCTCAATGGAAACTATCCAAAAGAAGTAAAACAGAAATTCAGTGAAATATTACATTCAATGGTATTAATTACATTACAAATAATAATGTAAAGGGAATTAACAGAAATGACCTGCAAGAGAGAAATGGTTGAATAAATTATACTATTTCTGTATGTTAGAATGTTATTGAACTGATGCCGGAGGAGAAGGGGTCTGGGAAGGCCAATAATTGGCCTCAGCCCTCCCTGTCCTCTTACCAGGTTCTTGACTTTACCACAGGAAAAAATTCAAGGCAGAGTCACAGTAGAAAATGAGAGCAGGTTTAATGCAATGAAAAAGAGATGTAGACTTCCCAGAGACAGTAGCATAGCTCCAAAGACTGAGCAGGGCCCACACCAAGTATGATATAAAAGTAAGAAATATACACTTAAAGTTTAATACAGAGTGCAGGCCAGCTTAAGAGAGTGAGCAGCCGCTTGCTGAAAGTAAGTATGTTTCAAAAGAAAGCATGCACACCTCAGCCAGCAAACTGTGGCTTGGCCCCAGGAAAGTGAGCAGCAACTCCACCTTCTGCTGGGATTCAGCTTTTATAGTTTCACTGTCTAATACATATTCATGCTGTCTAATGAATATACACTCCACTTTACTGAGCATGCTCAGCTATCATGGTTATACAGCCCCTTTCTACTCAATATGCTCAGCTACTGAATTTGTATGAGTCAGACCCCTGAGGTCTCAATTTCCCTGTGTTGATGCCAAAAATAGCTCCAACAGACAACAGTAACTCTCCTCTAAGGGAGGGCCTAGAGGAAAGGTCTGAGGCCTTGGAGAGTGGCTTGAAACCCAAAGGTGTGTCCTGAAATCTGAACCCACAGAGACTGAGGACCTCCTATCTCAGAGCCATTAAAATCACATTTTTAAATTAATTAAGGTTTTATATATATACACCCATATGTTATATTTGAATATGAATTTATCTGTAGTATTGTTATTTGTATTGTTTAGATTTTTAAAACAAACACACCAAAACGTTAACAATGGTTGTCTCATGTTATGGGATCATGTATGAGTTTTTTTTGTTTGTTCGTTTTTGATACCCTCTGTTTTCCAAATTTTCTACAATGAAATGAATTACTTTCAAAATCTTGGAAGCAATCAACATATTTTGAAAAATTAAAATAGTAGCAAATTAGAGAAGACATTATTGCTCATCTCTCCATTATCAATTTACTTTTCCCCTTCTTTCTAACAGAGCACCAAGTTTGTTTACTCCAGAGAATGATCCTTTTGAGCCAGTCAGCACATGGCTTTTTCTGGCTACTGCTTTTGTTGCAACTATGAGGTAAACCAGCTTGAGGATGAAGCCCACACTGAGGACAAAGAGTGGAGATACTAAAGGCCTGGGGCATTGGTGATGTTGAATCACTGCCCTTACTGTATCTGACCCCCAACCTGCCCTGGACTTCTTAGTTCTGTCAGATAGGAAAGTTCCTCGAGTTTAAGCAAGTTAGATTTTCTGTTACTTGTAGCTACAAGCATCCTAATTGATACAGTATTAATTACAGGAAACTTGTAAAATAGAGGATTAAAAGTAAGGGGGAAATAGTACTTACAGTTATGTCCCAGAGATATATACCCAGATATCAGCAATGATAACATTTTGGTAAATTTCCTACTTTTGTGTAAATTTTTTTTTTTGTGATATATGTAATGTTATGCAGCCAATATTTCCCTTAATGTTATATATTTCCATACTATTTTATTCAGTCAACATAATTTTATGACTATAATATTTCATGCATTTCAGCAAAAATACTATAATATGGTTAAGAATTTTTAATTGTTGGACATTTCTATTGCTTCCAAATTTTCACTGTTACATTTAGCACTACGTTGACATCTTCTTATTTAAAATTCTGTGGTGTTTTTATGTCTTCTTTATGCTAACTACCCAGAAGTAGAATTCCTAGGTTTGGATATTTTTAATTCTCTGGACCATTTTTCAAATTTATTTCCTAAAGAATTATACCAGTTTATAGTACAGCAGTGATAGAGTATATATCTACTGTACCCTCTCCAATGTCATTTTTTGTATTATTTAGTTTGATAGGTGGAAATAGTTTCCTGTATTATATTTTCATTTTTTTGAGTACAAGTGAGGTTGAACTTTCCTCATATAATAATGGCGCTGCTATTGCTGATTTTTATTTATTGAGTGCTTATTTTAATTTTTATTTTGTTTGAAATCCATCACATAGATTTTCATATTTAACTTGCCCAACTCTGTGATTTATTATTATTATTTTGTATGTGTGGAAAATAAGTCACAATAATTAAATAACTCTCAAGTTTACATAGCTGGTAAGTGGTAAAGGTGTGTGTCAGTTAAGATTTTGTTCTGCTGCAAGTCACTGAGAGCCCTGATTCACTGG